TATATATATATATATATATATATATATATATATATTAGGCATATTTCCCATATTTTCAGGACTACACCCAATCCTACCTGCAGTTTAACATAAAGAGATCTCCCAACCATTCACGGACTCGTTGGTATTATTAGCTGGATTAAATGCAGTGCAGCTTACAGACTTTTACAGTAACCCAACAACTTTTATTTTAGCTAGGCCTATTGCTTCTCATGAGATTTCAGGAACTATGAGTACCAAAAAAATGAAATTGATTGGTGTGTGTAATTTAATATGTTTAACCAGTATGTTGCCTTCTTAGAAAATAAATGCTGAATGTCTTGTGGAATTAAATTTATACCTATTTCCATTATGGCTTACATAGTTGCTTTTTCTCAGACCCATTCATTTTTTCTGGTATTGAGTTGAAATGCCCACTTTGTAAAAAAAAAATGAAAAATTAGGAGGAAAATATAATTGAGAATTAGAGGCAGATTTGAGTTGATAATTGTTCAGACACCTCGGGTAGGCATATTTTTTTGATACACCTTTTGTGTTTCTAGACATATTTCAAACCTGCATCCTGTCAACTCTCTTCAGGTGTGGAAATATCTAGTGAAAAAAATTCGCAAGATTTTGATAAACCTAAAAGTTTGTGCTCTCTATCATGGAAAGTTAAATTAATCTACTTTTAAGTATGCTATATAATGTAAGTCTAGGCTGCTTTCATATTTAATGATCCATTGCACTTGAAATGTTTGAAGTAGTGTTTAATTCATTTGAATCCTTCAAGGAGTTTTTGGTTAGCATAGTTTCCTACTTAAGGACATGCTCCATTTCCTGTGAATAAGATCTCTATATTTTTTTAAATCCTGGAATGCAATTCCATGGAGTCATTGTGGGAATGCCTTGTGAAATACCTATTGAGTGGTCATCCAACTCTTTTGAGAGGAGGAGAGTATTAAAAAAAGTATGTTGCTAGTCCATAAATTCTCTGCATATTTGAATTTCTGCATGATTTGTCAGTTATATTTTAAATGCAATTTTTCAAGGGATGGGAACCATCACATACTTATGGATAGCCCAGTATATTGGAATTATTGGCTCACTCATATAGCAATATAGTATTTCAGTTTTTCCTTTTGATATTGAGGTACAAATTTAATATATTCTGAAGAGCTGAATGGGTAAACTGAAGCTAAAAGTAAATCCTAGCTGCTCTCCATTATCTACTAAATTATCCAAAAGAGCTTACTTGATTCCATGACAGTGTAATGGTTCTCAATATGCTTATAATGAAGTAGCTATACACTTAACTATACTGTGCACATCACATTCAATATGCCCTTATCGGGGATATTAATCTTTGGATTCGAGAATGCCATTATTAACTAATCCTGTTTGCCTAGTTTTGCAGTTCATAGTGACTGATGCTTAGAGAATATGAGTGTGAAGAGCTGGATTTACATGGGTGTTGATCTGATGAATCCTGCTCTAAGAGGAAAATGAGCTATATTTGGTTGTGGTTCATGCTGACATTCTAGAAATAGGAGTAATTGCCTTAAATGCCTAAATGAATAAATTTATTGTGTCGGAGAATTTTTGGTTGGATTGTATTGCTTGCAAATCTCTACGAGGGATCGAGTCATTGTAAAAGCCACAAATAAAAACGTTTCCAAATCTACTGGTTCCTGATCCCTGATCCCTGATACTGAAATTACTAGTAACCCATTTTGATATCAAAAAATTCGTCAGGAATTTTACTTATTTTCTTGATCTTCCCTGTGTCTGCCATGGGACGTTTCGTCCCATGTAGTAGTATTATGCATGGTATCGATTCTGATGCTATTATGTACGACAGTAATACGATGTATAGACTCTTTGAATCCCTCTACCCTTCGCTCAGCTAAGAAGGCGAGTGGAAAAATGTTCAATAATGAAACAAAAGTAATGGCACGTTTCAAGCAATTTTCAAGGTGCTTATTGGAATAAATTTTAAAATGACAAATAACAAGTCTACCCTGTGAAGTGAGATTGGCCTGTCGCCTTTACTCATAGGCGATAGTTCCAAATGAAAACAGAAAGACAATTGTGTTTCAGGCTAGAATGTATTTTAGATGAGGTGTTCAGCCTTTCTAAGGGTCAGACGCATTGCATTGCCCCAAGGTTGAGGTGAAGGAGACATCTGATAATGCAAAGTAATGCAAACAATTCAAGTAGAGAGACCAACGGAATGGCCTACAGTTTCGCCTGCAAACTGGCTTAGCTTCAAAAGCCTGCAGATAAGATCGCAAATGGCCACCTGAGTCAAGCTGTATCTCGTGCGATACTATTTTGAGTACGATGCCAGCTTTATCGAACAGAATTCCGCAATAGAATCAGATGGGAGATGGAGTGCTTCTCCAATCCCAAGATGGCAGCCGCGAGGACCGTCCGTGCCTGCCTCGCAGCACGGGATGGGATGCGCCTCTCCAGTCTACTGTATATACGCTCTATGCTCTCCTCCCACATCCATGCCACGCAGACACGCGGACCATCGAAAATACCGATTGTGGTCCAGGACTCTTTATATAGGCCTGTGCCGTACCAATGATAGTTAATCTATATTTAAAAGTTGGATGGTTAGGATGCGGCGAAGAGGATAATTCCTGTGGTACAGGGACCATTAGAATGGCAGATCTGTACCTGGACTGGTACTCTCTAGTTCTGTTTGCGTTTTAAACTCCTTCGGCCTACCAGTTCATCGAGGCCTAATCTGGTGAAACAACCTAATCCGGTAGAAATAGGACTGTTTTTTACTTCAACATGTTAAAATATTGAACTGTTTGCCTGAAATGTGTGCGAGACATCGTTCATGGAACGGCCACGGTGATTGTACGTTCTCCTGGGAGAACTTAGAGAACTGTAGGATGTATGGGACGCCCTTGGACTCACAGGGATTCCGATGGCAGATCCAGTTCCCATCTTGTGCAGCATCATTGCAGCCTAGCCAGAGTAAATATTGCCCATAGGAATTGGCTGTCATCTCGATGACGCTTGCAGTGGCATTGTCCGTCTCCATGGCCAGACGGGCACCATCATTTTCGCATGTCGTCTTTGCCCACTCGTAGTCCATCCATATCCCGATATATTTGTAATAAAATCCAGTGGTACTGTCGAAGGCGTAGCCAGGAGGCGCGGATGCTGGAATGGAACTAACTTGTAATCACTGATTCTTCCGCAACTCGTGACAGGACTAACAGAAGGAAGGCAAAACGACTGCTCAAGTTTCATATATTTTTGATCGGCGTAGCACTCCAACTTCGACATCGCCCCAGACGATGCCGAAGGGAATGCCATTAATGATCGCTCTCCATCCTCACCCCTGGGTTTCCATAGGCACCCTTTGGAAGTTCATTTGCACCAATCATGGTGACGCAATCATGACTCTCAGGAAAATTCATTTAGTACTAAATCCATAATTCCCACTCGATCGATAATATGCTTCGATTGATATGAAACTACTATCTCACGTCACTGTGTAATACATTGGTACGGAGTTCTGCGGTTAAGTACTTACGCCCATAATCTACCCTACTATGAATACCCTTACGGAACTTCCAAATAGAAGCGTAAAATGTATAGGATTGTACAGTACTGAATTTAGCCTTGTTTGGAAACAGTTCAGTCCGTATCATGTTTTGGCCATTCTTAATAAATATGGAACTATATATGGTTCATATATACTGTAAATCCCCAAATATGGTGCGAGGTTTTGCAATGTATGTGACATTAATATAAACTATACGGAAAAAATATTGTATTTGGAATATATTTGGAAACTGTTCAGCCCATGTACTGTCCATGGATACACACACATGCACGTTGAGGCCTTCCATATGGCCTGACATCTTGCAGTTCGTTCAAGAATTAAAAAGTTCTCACAATATGAGCGAGGTCGCGCTCATCCCGCCGCTATGTCTCCCAATTCCTCCAATTGCTTATGAATGATTCTGCAGAAGCTTTCACCCTCAACTCCATAATTCCCACTCGATCGATAATATGCTTCGATTGATATGAAACTACTATCTCACGTCACTGTGTAATACATTGGTACGGAGTTCTGCGGTTAAGTACTTACGCCCATAATCTACCCTACTATG